AATACTTGCGCCGGGTATTTAATGTTCGGCTCCGCCCGAACTTAGACTGAAATAAGAATTCTACAGGAAAAATGCAGCTATACTAAGGGCCGGTTACTCAATGTTTGGTTAACACTAATCTCCGGTTAAACATAGTTATCGACGTTACCGACTCCCTGTTGTATGCATGGAGTCGAAGAGGTCGACAACGATGTTTAAGTGTTTAGTGTTTAGTGTTAACCAGTCATTGAGTATCCGGCCCTAAAACAGCTAAGCGAATAGGAAGCTAAACGGAATGTACCATAGCGGACTAATTTTAATTTAAAAATTCTATCGTTACTTATTCCAGCTAGTATTAATAATGGAACAAGATTTTTAGTATAGAAAGTGGTGATCAATATATATTAGTTAAAGTACGATAAATCTTAAAGTATGGGTTATAAGGATTCCATAATTTAGAAAGAAAATAAAATAGTTTTTCTGCTCTAATTTATGCTGATCTGAACATTTGTATTACTGTTTTATATTTTGATTTAATTACCCCGAACGACGTCGGGTGCTCTGCTAGTTCTCATACACAAATTAAAGATTATAGTTAATTTCGTCGTGATCGAGTGATCGCGTCTAAACTAAATTAGTATGGGACGACCTCTGAGGTACACCCCTTCCTTCAAATAAAGAATTTTAGAAATCGGCGGCCAAAGTAATAATAATAATGTTCCGAAGAATTGATAACCTTTTCCTTTTTTTGAAGTGATTAAAAAAATAAAATTAAATTGCAAAAGAAAAATAATTTATTTTTTATTTGTATAAAAAAAAAAAATCAAAAAATTTCTTCGCCTGAGGACTCGAACTCGAATGTCTTGAATGGCACGTCTGTGCTTTATTCTTTCCGCAATTGCGACTGTTGGAGCATCGCGAGCTTATGATATAGTTACAATAGATTTTCACCACGAGTGGTGAAATGAAATATTGATGCGCCTAAAAGATGCAGCGATTTCTATTCTCAAGTTACATACCTGATGACAGTACGAATGGCAATTATAATAGGGAGGTTTTAGTTTTTTAAACTATAATTTTATTTCTAAGATGTTTGTACCTGGGTAAAAGATTGTTGTAATCGCCATTTTAACGATTTTTAGTTCTAGATGCAGTTATATATTTTGAAATAATTTCTTTCGATTGGTGTTATCAGTTTTTTTATCATATAGTTTTCGAGATATTGTCCACGATTTTTTCGATAATTTAGTAAAAATTTAGTTAGTAGCAGCCATATTAATCTTAAAATGGCTTTCTCCATTTTTGGATATCTCCTTTAGTTTCCGAGATATTGAGTAAAAAGTGTCGCTAATTTGGTAGAAATTTTGATCACATTTTGTCGTATTTTATACAAAGTTCCTGCCAAATTGTGGACAAATTACGCTTACGACAAAATTTTACTAAAGAAGATCCTTCATAAACTCAAAACTAATTAACAATAAACATTAAAAATTAAATAATTGAAGAGTTTTGTGAGCTAGTAACATTTTCAGAGACTTTGGAGAAAATCTATCTTCGCGTTTTTGAGAAATTGCATTCCAAACTTCAAACGCGATTTCCCACAACCTGCCGAAATTAACATACGACAATCTTTTACCCAGGTGACGATATGTAGATTAAGAAAGGAATAAAGATAAGTATAAATCACTGATAGGCACTGCCTTTCCCGCGGGCAAAGCTCTTTTAAGCTTTCTATACATTTTGTATAGGCGCGAGCAGAGTAAAGGCTCTCTCTGCCCACGCTGGTATAAATGTACAGATAAGACAAAGACAAAGGAATAGAGATCAAGATAAAGACAAAAAGATAAAACTGAATATTAACCTCACTTCTCCCAACTTTATATCATCTCAAATCGAAGTAGCTTTAACTCACTTTAAACCAACTCACCTCAAACCAAGAAAACTCAACTCTACTCACCTAAACTAAACCCATCTTAAATAAGCTCACATCACCTCAACTCCCTTCACTTTAACTCACCTCACCGCAAAACATCTTAATTGTATGGACCGAATTTCAACCGCTGGGCTGTCGAACCGTCGAACTGTGTATGTATGTATGTTTGTAATTCAGCAAAGATGCTGAAAGGTTTTAAATTTTCTGATAAAAATATTTTTAATGTTTTTTTTAAGAGCACTCAACGGAGAAGAAGTAAAAGTAAAAATATGATGTGATAAAATGGATTAAGCAGTTAATTTTTCAAACAAAGACTTGGTAAGATCAGAACCCGGGACGTTATAACAATGATGATTTTTCCCACCCCAATGTTGGAGTCCCTAATCCTGAAGGCCCAAGACAGTACTGCCAGCGGTCGACTGAAGACGAAACCAAGTAAATCAAGTGTACCAATTATAGAGCTTTTGTTACAAAATTAACTTCTTCAGGTCCACAATGATAAATAAAAAATAAAACTTTGGCAATTTTTGGAATATCTATGGGAAACAAGTTTTAAAAGTTAATTGCAAAACACTTCACTAGTTAGTACATAAGTTTGACATTACGCACACATAACATCTGAGGCAGTACTGCCGAAATCTTCCCCGACTATAATTGTTAGACAATCTTCATAAAAAAACATCTTGGTAGCTGCACTCATTAGCTCGTTAAAACAAGTGAAGATAGCTCTAAAATGCAGTTAGATACTGACAGTGTGGTTTTGTGATTGTGCAAAGCCTCGATCTAATTCTTCTTTGTAGTCCAAAGTTTGGAGCGATGCTATCGAGATAGATGATACACAAAGTAGAAGTACGCAGGCGTAATAGATCTTACTTTCAGATACAGGAGGCCCAAATCCATTGATTTATTCTCGACATGTGCAAAATGAGTACGCTGTAAGAGAGTGGATTAAAACCAATTGCATATAGAGCAAAAGATGTTAAAACATTAGATATCATAAATTTGTAAAATGATGATTTACTATGTATGTAGTATGTATTTCGCTAAGCATGCACCTTGTCTCCTTAAAATTGGAATAAACGTTCTTATAATTCCAGACTAAATAAAAAAGACCTTTAGTAAATTAAACATTGGTAGCGGGTCTCTAATTGGATTTGGAAATATATCTAATAACTAAAAAAGTTGCAAATTTTTGGAAGTTATACGTCTGGATCTATATCTTATGATCAAACCCATAATCACTTAGCGCCAATGTGACGTTGGAGAAAAGTTTCTCAATAGTGTGGGGAATATAGCAACTATTTAAACTAATTTACTCAAAACCGATATATAATATAACCTCTTAGCACAAAATGCTACTTAGGGAAATTTTTGGGAAAATACGAAAATTCCGATATTTCAATAACTAAAGACTTACAACAATCTCTTAACACGACACAATATTATAGATTTTTGTAAAATGGGCGTGGCACCACCCACTTAGGACTACATACATAAATGTATATTGATAGACCCCTTAGCGATTTCCACCAAATTTGCTCCAATTATTTCAATATCTCATAGCATATTATCGAAACTGTTTGACATCGGGAAAAATACTCTTGCTTATCATGCAGTTTATTGAAAGGTGAAAAAACGATATTTAGTACGTGCGCCGGGTACATAAAGCTCGGTTTCGACCGAACTTATACTTCATTAATTGTTTTAATTATATTCTTTGCGGCCAAAAAAGTTATCAGAAATGTCCGAACCTAACCTCCGTAACGCCAGGCTTTACCCATATTTACAAAAGGTTTAAAACAATTAACACACATTGCCTTCTCATTCACATAATGTTTTCTAAACTCGCTTTCGGTATCGGAAACAAATTTTTTGACTGAACAGTACATGGTGAAACGAATACAGAAGGTGGCGCTGATTGTGATACCGCTAACTTTCTCTTGAAAATTTTGACAGAAATATGACGTCATAGGAGATTTTGTGTATTGCCTGTGGAGTATACATATACATATACAACACATATACATGCTGATAGATCTCTCTCTGTTCTCTCCACCGGCAAATCTGCGATGGCGCATTTCACATTAATCGGCGCAATCTTGTATTCTATCGGTCTTGTGAACAGTAAATTTTTAACTGCTCTACGCGGCAACAGCTAGCAGTAAGGAACTCAATACTTGTACACGAGAAGTAGTACTTTGTTATGACTCCACTGATATACTTTCTTTATTGTACACCAATAGATGTAAGATCGGTTTTGAACTTCTCCCTCTATGAAGTGACCCCAGTGTGCGACGCACTAGGGTAGAAAACGTATTTTTTCGTATAGAGTAAAGGACTCGCGATCAGGCATTCCTTGATCCACAACCAGTTCGAAAATTGAAGACGCTGTCAAAGCAGAGTAGATTTAAAGAGATTAATAAGTTTATTCTGTGCTGGTAACAAGAATTGTTTGAAGCTCCTGTTTCAGTTTTTGTCACACAAAATTCGGTTACAAAATGTTAGGTAACGTTCTGAACAGGCCTGTAAAAGGAACATGAAAGGTACATTTGGCGGTATGTAGTCTGAGCGTGAAACGCATTGTAAGTGTTGAGTACTGACAAAAACCGACCGTGAGATTTATGTTAAATGTGAAACATATCCAGAAAGTTTTTAAATTGCTATAGTGGGAACACCCCTAGAATAAGCATAAGTATGCATGCCTGTGTTTGTGCATGGCGAAGTTTTCCTTTTGTAATCTTGATATACATACATATCGTCGATGTTTTTGCAAAACCGCTCATCAACCAGTTGCGAAACCGCCTAAATCGCCGTTGTGGAAAAAATTAGATTTGGTAACCCTGAACTCCAGGCATCGTGATTTTTGCATAAAAATCGTTAAATCGTTATTAAAACAACAGATTTGTATAATAATGGCTAGAGAAAATACCGCCTATCAAGGCAATGCCTTCAAAGACAAACCCGTTTTTTCGCTCTTCTGTAAAATTTGAGTGTCGTAAGATAAGCGGTTTTGCGATTGGGCGATCGGCGGTTTTGCAAAAAAATTGACGATATGTTTATATATTATACATATGTATGTATGTGCACGTTGTCTTATGAGTGTACGCATTTGCATTGTACACGCATGTATGAGCGTATGTATGTTGTACCTTTTGTGCGTTTACATTATTTCCCTTTGCTTTTGACGAATAATCAGCACCAATAACCGCAAATTCAACACCCTACCCCTATTACACCCCATTTGCCGACAGCGTGTAATCATTTGATTTCATCTCAATGCGGAACCGCAACATCTAGCGAGGCTCGTTACAATTGACGCTGTCGCGAATGTTGCCATTGCCGTTGCTATTGCTGTTACTGTTAATGTTCGCATAGCGGCTGCTGTTGCGCTGCCTTGCGTTTTTATTGTTTTATCCACTTCTGCCGCTTCATCTGTTAAGCTGCGGTGTATTGTTGCCCTTTCGCCGCTGCTTGTTGTTATACTTTGCGGTTGAAATGAGGTGAATGCAGCCGCTGCTAATGTTGTTGTTGTGTGTTCCCATACCACCCATTTCTGACAGCAAAATAGCGGAAATACATTCGTTGCTGAAATGATCTTTATTGTATTGCCGAGCCTCTGGCGGCTAATCGGAAATCTTTTTGTTCTATCTGTTATTGTTGACTTAGATGTGCCGTTGCTACTTCGCGGTTTTTTGTTTCCGCAGTTGGTTGTCAGTTGCAACACCGACATTGGAAATTGTGTGCTGAATTGTAAATATGGTTTAGTTATGTGTACTGTTAGCAAAATTAACAGCAAATATATTTCAAAAGATACTTTCACTTCCATAAATACCAACAAAAGCGGAAATAGCAGAAATTTCACTGTTTTGCTATTAAATGTGTAAGACAATTGAAGGTTGCATCTTGAATTGTTTTTGACTTTGTTAGGTTCAGTGTTTCTATTCACACAGCAAGGCTTTACAAAACTGTCAGAAATATTCCGTTGCTTTCCATTTCTGTTATTAAATTCCATATCAGCGCTACTTCTGTCACTTTCAGTCGCGTTGCTGTTGCATTGTGTTTGTCTGCTGGTGTCAAGCAACACTTCGCTCAAAATGTTGCCCTTGTTTGTATTAGCTTTAATGCTGCTGTAAGTGTTGGCTTTTACAATTTCCCATTGGGCATCTGCAAAGTTCTTAACAGCAACAGCAACAGTAACAGCAGCACCATTACTGCCATCAACAGCAGCCAGCCCAGCCAATGTATTCATGGAAACGGCGAGATTTTCAACATCATTCGTTGTTGTCTTCTTTACATTCCGCACTTCCGTAGGCATTTGAGAAGATTTTGTTGTTGTTGTTAGTGCACTGGTTGCTGATAAAGTCGAAGCTCTTGTTGTAAGCGTACGTAAAAATGGTGCTGTCAACAAGAGCAACCGCAAAATCAATACCAAATGACGCAGTGTTGGCTCAGCATCTGTTTTTCCTTTGTTTCGCAACTCATTATGATTCGCAAGTTCGAATTTCGCGTTCGTCCCTTCATTTTCTGTCGCTGCTGCTGCCTTCAATGCCCCGATTCGTCTTATCATCCACTGAGTCGGCAGCCGGAAGAGACGTTGCGTATACGCAACCGCAGCTGGCTTAAATGCTGATGATTGCTCATACGCAGTGGATGCCCGTTGAAGCGAAGTGAAATGATTTTTTGGCTGGTAATTTAATGGCTGCCAATTAATGTTTTGTTTTTGTGCACGTTGTTTTCTCTGCTCTGGGTGTTGTTCTTGCAGTTGCTGTAGATTTTCGTGCTTTCGCTTCTGTTTTTCATTTTTATTTTGTTGTGTTTCTTTGTGGCAATGCCACTGCTGCTGGTACCAAGTCGATAAATGCTTGCAAATCCCAAATGATTGCATTTTAATCCAAAGGATTATACCACCGAGTAGATTATGTTGCGCCAGTGTGTTCGCTGAATTGTGAAAAGCGCCTGGAGGATTACGCACGGGTGTTTGATTACCATCGTTCACTGTATTGCCTGCCACGCCATTGCCTGCAGCAATCGGAAGAGTGCAATCATGAAAAGAGAGCGAGAAAGAGATGAGAAGAAAAATATTAATGTAAAGAAAGCATACCCAGCTATATAGGATAATTATTATTTATATAAGCAAACGTTATTAAGTGCTTTTAAGTATTTTTTCGAGTTGATATTTCAAAGGTTTATATTTAATGGTAAGTAAAATGGGTCTGAAAATACTAAATTAAGTTTGTCCTTGGGTAGACTAAACGGTAATTGGGAGACATTTTTCAATACATTTTTAGAATTATATTTTAATAAAACACGTGTATCAGTGCAATAAGTTGAACTTCCATAGAGTACATAAAAACTTAATTTTATATTCTGCTTTTATGCAGAATATGCCATGCGGTACAAAGTGTCAGAAAAGGATAAGGATAATTTTCTTTCGGTAGCCCACTCGCAGTAATATGAGTAGTAACCGGTCCACGGAAAAGACGTTGAATAATAAGCAAGCTTATTTCTTCTTCTTCTAACCGTCTAAGTAATTTTGGTCGAGTCCAAAAGAGCAAGCCAGTCCTTACTCTTCTATGCCAACTGAAGCCAATTGGAAATGCCGAGTGAAGCGAAATCCTTCTCCAACTGATTGTACCAACGCAGAGCAGGCCTTCCATGAATACTTTCAGAGATGGAGCGTTTCTGTTATTCTTACGACATGACTAATGTGACCAATCGTGCTTCTTTCTGGGGTACAGTACTCTTTTTGACACGTTGTTCTTCACACTTTGCAGTACAGTCAAATGTACTTCTTTTCGATATTTTGTACTATTTTGAAGTTGAGTTTTCTTTAACTGGGTCGAAGGTTACTCACAGATCAACACATATGCAATTCTCTAGCTTGCAAAACTCATTGTGTGCTACTCAATCGAGAAAAATTGAAACGTGTTTAAGAGTTTACGAAGTTTGCTTGGCTCAGAGGTTAGCTTTGCTGACTTTGTACATCGATTATGTGGGTTGAGTCTCTGTTCAAGTCCAGACAAAAAAGTCTGATGAAGAGATGTCGTGATTGTAAATGTGGTGATTAGAGATGAGCTCGGCATATCGGGACCCACGGGAAACACGGTAATGATTTCGAATTGACTGTGATGGGCGGTATCGGGAGGATATGTAAAAATCTTGCGGGCAGGACGGGACCAAAATCCTTTCCGGAAACTCCCGAAAAAACAGCAACACCCGCAAATTTAGAAAATCTACTCAAAAAACGAAATATGCACTTTATATGTAGTATTGAGATGAATACGAAGAGAAAAGCAAAACAAAAAAATAATGGGAATATGCCAGATCTTTCATTATTTTTTTATTATTTAACCAAATTTGTTCCAGATTAATTTTTTTAACTTTTTTTGCTTTCTTCTAGATATAGGGTAAAAGTAGCTTTAAAGTAAAGGAAAAAAGATGACTAAAACTTTGGGAGTAGTATAGTTCGTCCGATATCGGCCGTTGCCATATGGCTACATGGGGCGTATTGCAGATGGATTTTTAGAAGAGTATTTGGTTAAAATATAAAATAAGAAAAACACTATTTACAGGTTTTAATACGTTTGTTGATAATATATGCATATTCTACGTTTAAAGTGGATACAGGAGTTAAATTTTTGTAGGAAAAGTAGCAAAAACATTTCAGTCATAAACTCACATCACATCTTACATGGGCTACTCGTCCTATAGTTTTACATGCTTCACCAGCACAACGACGTTTTTTGTCAATTTAATTGGCTAAGTCCTTTAATCATAAGAAGATATAAGGTCCCAGTGTGGATACTCCCGAGGCTAGGCAGCATCGAGCTGTCAACTGAAGACCACACAAAGTATTTGGGGGTAGTCTTGGATAGTAAGCCGCTGTGGAAGCAAAATATTGAGGAAAGGGTGAAGAAGGCTTGTAACGCCCTTTATGCATGTAAAATAATGCTGGGGTCTGTCACCTGCCCCAATGAATTGGTGCTACGCCAATACTTCTTTATGGCGCTATGGTTTGATGGAACTCCGCCTCGCAGCACTATGCCAAAGAAAGATTGCAGAGCTGAGGTATTACCGGTTGCTTACGGGGCATATCCAGGTGGCTGCTCGTGCACAAAAAGTTGGAGACCAGGGAAACATTGTAGCATCTTGTCTGCCGATGTCCTGCACTTCGATAAATTAGAGGACATTTCAAAAGTAGAGCTGAAATTTCTACTGAAATTCACAAAAAGCGTTGACATCGTTTGTGATGTCTTCTCTAACGCGTAAAAACGAGCTTTAGCTGGCAATACTAAGGACCTACTACGGTCTATATGCGGCTCAACGTCGGCCAGATTAACCTAACATATACACACACCTTTTTAAGTAAGCGGTTTTTGTTTCACACCCTCCCATACATGATATATTTTGATAGCTGATAAGAAGAGGGACAGTTCATATTACGCCCCGTATTGCCGTATAGCAACAGGCTTAAAAAACACCTAAATTATCTAATACGCACAATTGTTTTTTATTGTTAAGTTTTACCAATGGCGTCACTTGTGTATTAGTTAATTTTTTATCACTGCTACGTTTTATAAATAAAAAGCACTTGCTATAAGTTCATGCTTACTTCTTTATATATGACATTTCGATGGCTTTCTACCACTTCTTATTTTATTTAAATAGCACACGTGCATTACAACTGATAGACAGCAAAGGTACTGGCAGAAGCGTAGGCGTTTTGAAAGAGAGTCTCTTTAAGAGACACAATTTTGCAATTAGTTAACGTACATAAATATGTATGAATATTATTTAAGTGGTTTTTCTGTTACACCTTCTTATTCATGATATGTTTTGCGTAGCCATATGGCATTATTTCTGAAACATATTTAAGAGGGTTGCCACGTGTTTAAAAAGTTACATTCAAGTTATTTAATGAGTAAAATGAATTACTGAAAGATCGATATCCATCGAATGGATTTGAAAAGGCTTAATTTCTAATCTTTATTTATCAGGGTGTCCACGTATTTCAAAAATTAAATTCAAATTAATTCAGCAATTAATTGAAATAAGTAACATAATGTTAGAAGAAAGAGATTTAAGAAGCTTATAGTTGGAAAAAACTTTTTAAAAGGATTTCCTCGAACTAACTTATACACAAGTTTCAGGAAATATTAAAAATTAGTGTCAATCGAGAGACATTTATGAAAGACTAAAATAATATTGATTCGGCTTGCCACGAGAAGGCACTTTATGTGAATATCATAAAATTTGCACCGATCTTTCGAAAGTAAAGACCTTGGCCTGTAGATTAGAGTGGACCAAAATAATAAAGTCGGGATTTTAGTGCCGCCACCCCCTAGGATTGTTCTGATCCGAAAATAAATATACCCCTATTTTTTATTTTGAAATAAAAAAATATTTAGGGAGTGTTCAAAGCGCTCAGAGTTTTCCATGTATTTTATATGGAGAAAAAACAACTTTTCGTAGAAATGGTATAAAATTCTTGAAAATCAATATGTTTCGATCGCAAAACTGTGGTTCTCTTCAGAAGACTTCAGATATTAATATCCAATTGTTTATTTAACCATTTTTTATGATTAAAGATTTTTTATTGGTCCCCCCATTGCATTTTCTAGGACCTATAAAATATAGTTACCATGAAAAAGTTGTTAAATGAACAATTGAGTATTATTACCGGGAATCTCCTGAAGATAAGCAAAGTTTTCCGATCGGAAAATATTGATTTTCAAGAATTCTACACTATTTCTACGAAAAGTGGTTTTTTCCCATATAAAACACATTGAAAACTTTGAGCGCTTTGAGCACTCCCTAATTTTTTTTTTATTGCAAAATAAAAAATAGGCGTATATTTTTTTTGGTATAGAACAATCCTAGAGGGGCTGGTGGAATTAAAAATGCGACCTTATTTTTTTACATACATTTTTGGACCACATCTACATACATTTTTGGACCACATCTACAGTAAATGTGCGAGGAGGTTTTATTTTTTTAAGTTATAACTTTTATATCAGTACGGGGTGATTTGAAATTTGATGATATTATAAACAACCACTATGCGAGACCTCAATTCACTCAGAAATGGCTGCAGGGATTTAGATAAAATATTGCACTCGGATCGCTTATATCTTTGATTAACATTTAAAATAGTTTGAGAATTTTGAAATGGGAGTTTGGGCGTTTTAACGCCGTGCGGGTTCACTAGTTGTACTTAATAAGGTAGTTACGATAATTGAAGGCAAGCAGATATTCAGAGTTTTGTGAATTGAATCATCACCAAATTTCAGCTCTAAATATTCAATTGTAGCTCAAATGCACATATGTATGTATTCAGTAGTTAAGAAGTACTTTCAAGAAGAAGTCGACGCCTTTTTTTCTGCAGCTCCGTGACACTCCTCGTCACACCAGTGGTACTTTCGGGCTCGCTGAAATCCAACTACTTTTTCGGCGGCGTTACGTAATTAGCAGGAAATGTGCTTCCACTGCTCGTATATGTCGGTTTGTTGAAAAGTGCATTCCGAGGGTAGGTGTGGGAGTCCAGTGGCGAATAAATTGGCCGTTGTTGTTATTGCAGCCTTTCGACTTAGGAGAGCAAATGGTACAAAGTGGTCCCGTGTTTCTAAACTGTTCTCGGTCGGAGTTTATTAATTTGAAATAATCTAATAGGGAACAAATGGGGTAAAGCCATCTCAAGTGGGTCACAAATTTATCGACGTTCGAATTTTCAGGTGATCTTTCGCTCAAATGAAGTTCTACTCACCTGAAATACACTCCGTAAATTTCAATGACAAATTTTCAAGTGTAGACTTTTTATGGGCATTTGATTTTTTTTTTTTACAATGGTACGCAATTTATTTATTTTTCTCTGAAAATACAAATTGGAATGCGATCATTTTTTAAACTTAGGGAGAAGACGTACTTCTTCTTCTTCTTCTTTTTTGGCGCTGTAACCGCCTAAGCGATTTTGGCCGAGTTCAGCAAAGCACGCCAGTCGTTTCTCCTCTGTGCCAACTGAC